GAGAGAGAGAGAGAGACAGAGAGAGAGAGAGAGAGAGAGAGAGAGAGAGAGAGAGAGAGAGAGAGAGAGACCACCAACCAATGTAAGATTTATGCCACAGCTGCCCTAAATAACCAGCATTGGTAATTACCAAAATCATTTTTTATGTTTCTGTAATGGTTAATACACCAGTATGTAGAAGCTCTTTAACTGACATGATATTTTTAGTGTTCAAATATACTTATTATTATGTTAATTTTCAAACGTACTGTTTTACAAAAATACTGAAAAAATGGTAAAGAACGTCCTTCTTTCTTGTATAAGTGGTTGAGCTCGAACTTACTTTTCCTCTTCCTTGTTAATATAACACAATAAACTAGTTGTACTGATAAACAAATGACACTTTGCTCACATGCACTTGTTTATCACAAAATACGTGAATCTGAGTTACATTTTAATATCAAAAAAATAAGAAGACAATAAAAACATTTCCAGCATTTGCTCCAGTGGATCCTGTTCTTTCACTTCACTGTTTTCATCCATATCTCTGGATGTGTCACCTTTCTCACAGAGTTCATGAGTAATTTAAGCAAGAATGGCTGTGAAGATGGATGTACGCTGGTTGCACCTATGATTAAATTTGATGTCATTTCAAAATTATTTTAATCAATGACACTTCAGTACAGACAAGCCACTGACATTGTTAGAAAGGTCAAGTTGTGAGGTTTTTTTTGATATGTGCTACAGATGCTGCAATAAATCTTTAGTTAACGATTGAAACAAGAAGAAAGGATTTGAATTTGAACACAAAGTGCACCTGTCAAGCTATCGGGGTTTGTTTTAATTCAGTCTACAGGACTGCCAAAGGTACACACGTAACCTCATTCTTGTACCTGTGCAATGCTGTCAAACTGATGCATGCTTTCATTAATGCTAGACTAGAGTGTTGTGTTTTCCGATCATACTTATGTCCTAGTAACTCTGTGAAAAGTGTGCGGTTGATCCCTGGACCTCTCTCATATGTTCTCGTATTTTCTCTGTCTTCTCACCCTGACCTATAAAATATTATGAATATCCTTGAAATATTAATAAATGACAAATATTTTTTTGCCAAAGTGCTTTACAATGTGTTTCTCATTCACCCATTTACACACACATTCATACACCAATGGTGACAGGGCTGCCATGCAAGGTGCTGCCTGCCATTGGGAGCAACTTTGGGCTCAGTGTCTTGCCCAAGGACACTTCGACTGTGGAGGGGCTGGGGATCGAACTGCCAACCTTGTGATTGGAGGACAAACCGCTCTACCACCTGAGCCACAGCCTCCCTACTTAAGTGTTTAGGTACCACTTGAGGTATGTGGGAGTGTTTGAAAAAACAGCCATGCATTTAACCCTAAAACCAAGTCTTGCTGTACCACCATAATCAGTGTTTAACCTGGAGAGCTGAAGCTTGTCATGAAATGGAAATGCTCCCACCCTGACAACAGCATCTGCACAAATCTTTGTTGCCACAGCATGACAGAAACACATATCCACCTGTCTTGGCAGAGTGGTTGTTCTCCTCTTGCTTTAGGATATGGTTGCATTCTTCCTGAGCCTTCATGTGCTGAACCACCAGTGCGCAGTCTGGGTGGATGGCTTCTGTCTGTAGAGAAAAGAGAGAAATCTTTATTGCAGTCCATTCACACATAAATACACATCAACAGCACAGTGACAAGGTTTAAAAGGTAGTTTACCAGTATAATTTTGGTACTGCTGTCTACACCACAATACTGGATCAGAATTCTGAAAGAGCCAACTAATAATCTGTTGAAACACAGTTGCAGCAGTAATCAGGAGGTAGAGAATGAACCACAGTATCACCAATCAGAGCCCAAGTGGCCATCCTCCTACAACAACACCACACCTTACATAACCTAGCTCTGAAAAACAGCTGGGCAAGTGTGTGAAAGTTCAGACAGTGTGGAAAAAAATGTTCAACATGAACCTCCATGGATGATGTACAAAAAAAAGACCCTTGTTTGCACTTGGGTACCGCAGTATGAAACTTTGCTAAATAACATTTTTTTTTAAAAGTCTGATTAATATTGGGAGCATATTATTTGTTTAGATGAGGCTGAGATATATTTGATAAATTGTTTGGCTCAGATAGGGTCCAGCATGTTTGGTGTGAAACTGCTCAAGACTACCACAGTGAATATCCTGCCAGTGAAGCACAGAGGAAAGAGTGTGAGGACACTGTGCTGCATAAGTCCAAACGGTGTTGGGGAGATGACGTTTATAGATGACACCATGAATGCCTATGTATATACCAAAATGCTGGCTGACAAGATGACTCCAAGACTACAGAAGTTTGACAGAACAGGAATATTACAGCATAATAATCCAAAGTACATTAGAAATCACACAAGAATTTCTAAAGACAAACAAGCTGAAACCTAGGACATGGCCAAGTATGTCACCTGACTTGAATCTAACCAAACATCTTTTTAGTATTTCAAAGAGAAAACACTTGAGGCTTCCAACAAAGAGCAACTGAAATCAAAAATGTCTGAAGAATGAGAGAAAGTTTCGCCTGAAATTTGTGCTCCTTACCAAAGAGGAGTGAGTCGTTCATCAAAAAATAAAGGTGCACGTATGAAGTGTCAATAATATAAAAGAACTGAATATTATTAATGAAAGGTATATTTGCTTTTGTTGAATTGATTTCCTACTGTGGAGCTTCTGTTCTTAATGTAGTCTATCTATACTGTTAGTTATATAGTTTGAAACAGGAACAAATGCCTACTGTGCAACTTACATGCAGTGCAGTTACTGTGAAATGATACAGTTTAGACTCATTTGATATTTAAGTGATACCAAGTCCGTTGCATATTTTTAGCTCTATGCTCTGGATTTTGGCAGATTTTCTTTAGAGAGATTTTAGAACTTAGCTACAACTCAAAGTATTGATCAGTCAGATATCAATCTATACATCCATAGGTTTGTTATTTTTTTTCTGCTACATGCAGTTTCAAACTGAACCTTGCTTAATGCTCATCTTTGCCTGGTTGCTCTCAGGCTCTTATACCCAGAAGATGCTGTTGTACAGTAATCAGAACCCCTGACAGCTAAAACGTGGACTAATGACAACTTCCTCTAGATGTCGTTCACTTTCTCTCTTGCCTTTTGATGAATGTGAACAGACAGAGGCCAGAAACCTGCTGATCTAATATAATCTGAGATGAGGAAGGAAGCAAGTAAGCAAGTAAATATAAGATTCGAACAGCATCTCCAGCATGAATTGCATTTATCCAATTATGTCGTGAAAATGATCTACTTTGCTGTCAAGTTAGAAATAACTCCTAATTATTTTTAAGGTGTTTAATTGATTTCTCTAGTGGATGCATTTGATTCAATTTGTGTGAAGCCTTTCAGCTAGAACACCTGCCTGTAGAACAGATGGAGACACTGCAGGAGAATGTGATCTTTGACCCTGCGCTCTCACAGTGCTGCAGTATGCAGGATTTAACAGGGGAGAAGACGCTCACTGCTATTTGACAGAAACACCTTCTGGTCTGTTGCAGGACGTTTTACCCTGCATGTGTTTTCCTTCATTGAACCAGTTTTTTGTGTGCTTCAGGCTTCGAAAACATCTAAATTATTGTATGCCTCATCATTAACATTTCAAAGCATTCAAACTTTTGATGTATGTTTTGCATGTATGTTTGTTTATAATCAAGTTATGCTGACTTTAAAACTATAGAATCTGGGTAGCATGACGTTTCTTTCCAAGCACACAGACAGCATATTCACCGCCCTTGGGATTTTTCCCCTTTTATTGCTTTTTAACACTGAATTATGAACTATAGAAATTGTTTTGTTTTGCCGTTTTTTTTGTTTTTTTTTACAGGAAGAAAAGATTAGAAATTATTTCACCCCATTCATCTTTGTAAAACTGCTCTACTCTGTCAGGTCCAGCCACAAATTCTCAGATGGATTGAAACCCAGGATGTAATTGGCCACTTCAGAACATTCACAACATAAACTTTAGTCGAGATTCAATATGAGATTTTCTCAGCAGTGGCTTTCTCTTTGCCACTACCATAAAGCTTTGACAGGTGAAAAACCTGGGCAACAGTGAATGCACAGTGTCTCTCATCTCAGCAGCTGTGGCTCAGGTGGTGGAGCGGGTTGAGAACATATACTGGGTTTTTTTTGTTGTTTTTTTTTGTAAAAACTGCATTGTCACAATAATAGTTTTATTTTAATAATGGACATTAAAAAATAAACATGTTGCAGTATTAACTTGGCAATGATGTATCACAGCACAAAGTCTTAAATTTAACAAGAGGATGCAAGAGTATATCACTCAAATGTTTATAACAGATATATGGACACACTGCCACAGAGCCGTTAACATTGAACAGTTATGTGATAGACATAGATGTGTATAGTTTGTATTTTACAAGATACTTTTCATCCAGATGATTTGTATTGGAAAACTCATGCTATGACACAGTTATTTAGCACTGTTACCTGACCAACTATGAACAGTTTTCCACACTGGAACTTGTTGAAATTCTGTGTCTTCTTCCTTTATAATCCCTGTTCATCGCCACTAATCACAAGGTTGGCGGTTCGATCCCCTGCCCCTCCTTGGGTATGTCCTTGGGCAAGACACTGAACCCAAAAGGTGCTTCCAGGGGCAGGCAGGCACCTTGCATGGCAGCTCTCTCACCATTGGTGTATAAATGTGATCTACTCTCAAAAATGTACATTGCTTTGGATAAAAGCCTCTGCTAAGCTAAACTGTAAATTGAAGCTTGTCACTCATAGTTGTCTTGGTGACCATCCTCACTAATCTCTTTCATGCACCCTCACTAGATTTTTGAGGACGGCCTGCTCTAAGCACTGTTTATACATGTACCATTTTCTTTCCATTTCTTAATGATGGATTTAGCTCTACTCCAAGAGATATTCAGTGATTTTTTAAAATTTCTTGCATCAATCTCCTGACTTATGCCTTTACAACAATTAAAACAGTTGCTTGGAGTGTCCTTTTGTCTTCATGGTTTCTTTGTAGCCAGGAGAACTGATTCAACAGTGACTAGACCTCCCAGATTCAGGTGTATTTATACTACAGTGACTCCAGACACATTTACTGCACTAAGAGGATCTCTATTTCACTAATTGTATGACATCCAGCACCAGCTGGCTGCACCTGCATTTACTTAGTTGAGTCACTTTAAAGGGGTGAACATATGCAATCTCTTATCATACATTTTATATTTTTAATTATGTTCTTTAATTGACAATACTTTGTAAAAATCTGTTTTCCTTCTGACACGAAAGAGTATTTTTCTGTAAATTAAATTGACCATGATTCAACATTGAAAAGAAATATAAGGTTAAAAAAAACCCAAAACTTTCAAGGGGGGTAAATGCTTTTTATAGGCAGTGTAGAAGTATATAAACATCCTTTTTATTTCTTTTTCTTAATCAGACTGTAGTTCTTATTTAAATGCCTCCCACAGGCACCCACAGAATGAACTTCACACCAGTGTTTCCCAACCTTTGGACCCCTTGTCATAGGTTGTTCGGTCTGCTACGAACATTCAGTCTGTATCTGGACACGTTATTTGAATAACAACATTTTATCATGGGCTTTGTATGGTGTTGTAATTCTGCTCGCACTGTGCTCACATCTCAAAATGCAAATTAAGTGGGCAGAGCTGGCAGCTTTGTCAAAATACTTAGCATCCCCACAGCATGGACTTATGTGTTTAACCTTTGCTAATAAAGAGTTTTTTTGTAGATATTTTTGAAATAGTGGGATATGAAAGAGGTATGAGCTACCACCTTGCTGGGTGGGTGGATGACCCATACCATCTCTTCATGTTGTAGTTAAAACTTACACGGTGCCTTAAGAAGCATTCTTACTAAAATAAGGTATCCAAGACCCTACTTCAACTCTACAGCATGCCATCCTCACAACTTAGGAATGCAAAATTGCTATAAGACTGCTAATGCATCTGCAATTTGCAAATTACAGTTATTTGTGAATGATTGTGCTACTTTGGTAAAAAAATAAATAAGTAAAAATAAAATGTGCCCATGATATGATATGTCTAGGCTTATTGGAAGCATTAAAGCAGTGAGTAGTGCAGTCATTGACCTTTTAACACTGTTTTATTTAAGTACATTTTGGAGACCTGAAGAGATACAATTATACAAGACTAGCCTTCTGACACCTAGCAGTTTTTGTCTGTTTTATCACATGTTTTCTCACTGTAGGCTAACTTTTTACTGCAATTAAAAGTCTCACTTTATAGAATCTGGTAGAATAGTTTGTTTTGTGAAATTAGAAATGAAACATGTAGAATACAGTGACATATCACAATTTTAAGGGATTAGCTATTTTTCCTGAGTGACTCATGCTTCACATTGACAGACTTGAAAAGTTAGAAATCTGATGATTTCTACTGTTTTTATAGTTTCCATTTCTGATAAACAATGTTTTTTTTGTTTGTTTTGTTTTTTTTGTTTTTATTTTAAAGAAAATAGCAGGGCTAAACCAAACTGTAAAAACAAAAAGTAAGTAAGGAGAAGAAGAGAAACATTTCAATACCAATGATAATTTAGTGCAGTACAATTTGGTTTAGC